TAACTGAGTACTAAAGATCTATTATTTAGGTAGCTCCTATTGGGCTTTCCCTTTGGCATGGCGTTTCAAACCAACTAAGGCAAACTAGCAATTTGATCTTGCCACTGTTTATACTCAAATTTGAAAGCAATTGTATATGCCAGCTGTGGTGTTTTAAATTAGAAATGTCTCCCACAGGCTGAGGTATTTGAGCATTTGGTCCCCAGTGGATGGTGATTTTTGAAGGATATTATGGAACTGAGGTGAAGATATCCTGGAGGAAATATATCAGTAGAGGTGGGTTTTGAGCGTTTATATCCATGCCCTCCTTCCAGTTTGTTCTCTCTGCTTCATGTTCGCAGTTGAAGATGTGGTCTCTCAGAATCCTGCTCCATGCTTCCCTCTAGCATTATGACCTTTCTCTCTGGAACTGTAAGTGAAAATAAACTTATCTAGAAGTTGCTTTGGGTTGTGGTATTTTACCACAAAAATAAAAATGCTAATATCTCTTTCTCAACTCTTGATTACTCTGCAACCCACTGAGATCTGATTTCTGCCATCATTGTTCTACTATCTCTGGCACTTCATTTACTTTTCTGGATTAGCCTCTTTATCCAAATTATAAACATAGGGGTCCCTCAGAATTTTGTCTTGGGCGTTCTTCCTTACATTCTCTCCCTGGGTCTTTAATATCTACTTCTACTTAATAGAATTAGCATCTAGGTTGGGATCTGTGACACAGAACCATGAATAGAGTTTGGTTATAAGCAAAAGTAGATAAAAACACAACTTTTGGCTAGGAAGTGATAGCACACACCTCCCAGCACTCAAAAGCCAGAAGCAGGTGGATCTCTGTGAGTTTGAGGCTAGCCTGGTCGGCAAAGCAAGTTCCAGGATAGCCATGGCTACACAGAGGAACCGTGTCTTGAAAAACCCAAAACAAACAAGCAAAAACCATAATATTTTAAAAGTGTGTTTGTATGTGTACAGGTACATGTTTTTGGGTACACAATATAAGCATGTATGTGGAGGGCAAAGGTAAACATTGGCTGTCTTACTTCCAGGGCTATTCTCCTGGTTTATGGAAACAGGGTCTCTCACTGGCCAAGAGCTCACCAACTATGCTAGGCTGTCTAGACAGTGAGCCTCTGGGACCCACTTGCTCCTACCTTTTCAACACTGGTTTTGCTTACTGGAGGTATCTAAGGTAGGTCTTAATGATTATGCTGCAAGCTCTTTACTGAAACATCTCTCCAAAAGCTGAAAATGTTAACTTTTTATATTTACTAATCTCTAGTGAATATTTAACATTTTTCCAATTATTCATATATGTAGATCATTGTCATTGATAAAAATCACAAATATTTTCATATATCATGTGTGTTGCTGATATATCAAAATATTATTGATACTAATCATTATTTTAACTTATAGGCATTATGAGATTTACCATCACATCATTTAATAAACTAATAATTACATTTATTCTAACATTAAAATATCTTTATTTGATAATTATGTATCAGTATAATTTCTTTTCTTTGTAATCTGATTCATTTCACTTGCTCCGTTTAAAAAATACTATGAGGAGAGAAGGTCATAGTCTTCCCAGACTTCCAATAGGATAAGAGTGTTAGGAAACTCTTTAAGGATGCTGATGACCTAACTCATGGGGATCTCAAACAAAATTCCAGATTGATTTTAGCACTTCTTCCAATTTCATTTTCCTCAAATCTCATTCTCCTGTATCCTCTATTTCATGAGAGGAATAAATAATCAGCTAATTAACTACCTCCAAATCCTGAGATCATTCAACTATACCTTTACATCATTCCATCAATAATTCAGAGGCTTTAACCTCTTCAACATTTATCAAATTCATCCATTAGTCTTTCTTCATTCTTGAACTTTAATTTTGGTAACCATGCTCTCTTTACTTTCTAAATAATCCCTCCACAACCAGAGGAAGTTCTTCCTAGTCCATTCTTTCCCATCACTTTTAGAATGATAGTTTTCCACATACTAAACTTAACATGAACATAGCCACTTTATCATACTTGTGTACCCTACTTGATATGTTTCTTGAGTACAAGGACTTGTACTATGGTAATTTGGGGGTCAATACAGTTAATCTTGGTCTCAAGTATATAAAAATACTCTATAATTGGCATTTTGTAAACTCAAGTACTATGGAAAAGCTACATCTACATTAAGGATCCTGCAGACTGTTTGACCTTGGCTAAATAGTCTTATACATACATAAAATGTCAATTGCCAATTTAGTCATCTTTATCCTGTTTTTAATATTTTTGTTCATTAAATTTGTTTGACAATTTTAAAATGCATTCTGATTACTCTTATCCCCTGTGCTAGCTAGATTTGGTTTTTTTTTTTATTAACCTTGATAGGAGCTAGAGTCATCAAAGAGGAAAGAGCTTCAGTTGAGGAAATGCCTCCATGAGATCCAGCTGTAAGGCATTTTCTTAGTGATGGATTTGGGAGGGCCAAGCCCATTGAGGTGGGGCCACCCCGGGGCAGGTGGCCCTGGGTTCTATAAGGAAACAAGCCAAACAAGCCATAGAAAGCAAACCGGTAAGCAGTACCATCACCATGGCTGCTTTAGGTTCTTTTATTTTTTTATCTATTTTTTTTGCATAGACTTGCTATGGAACAATTTTTGTACACTGTAAATATGTATTGCTCTCAGTGTTAATAAAAAGCTGATTGGCCAATAGCTGGGCAGGAAGAGACTGGGAGACACAGCTTGACACAGAGAGAATGTTGGGAGGAAGAATGGCATAGAGAGGTGAATGCCATGAGCCTAGGCACAACACAGAGATTAATAGAAATGGGTTCACTTAAGTTGTATTGGCTATTAGTAATAAGCTTGAGGTATGAGGCCAGAATTTATAATTAATATTAAGACTCTGAGTGGTTATTCAAAAGTGGCTTCCGACACAGGAAAACTCTTCCTATAGAGGTTCATCCTTCATGATTTTATGTATTCATTTATTTATTGCTTTGAGACTCATAGTATGTAACCTTTTCTTAGCAATAAACTTGTGGATCCAATTATTTCTTGAGAAGTACTTTAACAAATTTAGTATTTAAAGTTCTATTTATACTTCTACCTTAATCTACAATTTCTTGCTTGTTGAAGTCTTGTCTCCTCAGTTTAGCATATTATTTTACAGAATTTTAGATGTACATTTCTAATTACAACACTCTCTGGCAGTCTTTTTCTCTGACAAAATAATAGTTAACTAAGTATTAATTTGTGTACAGAAAAAGATCATTAGACAACTTGATTTCCACTTTGGATGTCACTTGACATGCAGAAACTGTTATTTATAAATTAGTAAAGACAGTGAGTTCCTGTGTTAGTTACAAAAACATAAGCTAATCATAATTGCAAAGGGAATACCCTTTCAAACAAATTAGTTTTAATTTGTTATAACAATTTTATTCCTCCAAGACTGATAGTTTCATTCAGGACAGTTACAAATCATGCAACTTAAAAACATGTAAATTAAAATTGTAATTTCCCCTTGTAATGTGAGAGGATTTTCTAACACAGTAAAGAAATTGAGAAATGTACAAATTACAAATTCCGGGTTGTACTGATTTTCAATAAGAAACAAGTTCTTATGCAAAGGCCGAAGGAATTCCAGCTTGGAATAATAGCCAGTTATTGACACATCCTTCTTTTTTTTGCTGCTGCTGCTCTTGTTTTCAAACATACATGAGACATGGGATCACTCTTTTTACTCTGTTGTGAAATTAGACCTGTACTTAGTACTTGAGGTGCTTTATCCTGCCTTCAGGTTCTTGCCTTGAGTGGCTTTCCTAACTTTCCTTCATGATGGACTGTGATCTGAAACTGTAAGTTAAAATAAACTCCTTCTTTCCAAAGTTACTCTTGGTCATGATATTTTAATACAACCAAATAAACTCTAGCTACAAAACCCCTTCCCTTATCTCTCTTCCCCAGACTGAAATGGATAACGTTGTTAGGGAATGTTAGGGGTTGTTAGTGACAGGGCCTAACTGTGTAGTTCAGGTTAGCCTCAAATGTATGAGCTTTCTGCTCTGTCTAGCTCCAGGTGAATCTGCTACCTCTGGCCTCCAAGTCACATCCTTTTAATACATCTACTCCATCATAATTAATCCCAAGTCTCAACTTGTTCCAATATCAACTCTAAAGTTTATTCTAAATATCATTCAAATAAGAAATAAGTGAAATTCGATTCAATCTGCAGTACCAACATGGCAGCTAACAACTGTCACTCAAGTTCCATGGGATTTGACACCCTCTTCTTATCCTTGTATGCACTACTCAAATATGGTGCACAGACACACATGTAGGCAAAACATTCATGATGTAGACAGAAGTTTCTGTTACACATGGTCCTGAATCCATTTAGTTCCAAATCCCAAATAAATACACAGAAGCTTATATTAATTATAAAATTATAAATTATATTATTTATGGAATATATAATTATTAATTCTATATTATAATTATATTAATTATAAAATGTTTGGTCTATTGCTCAGACTTATTACTAACAAATTCTTACAATTTAAATTAACCCATAATTCTTCTCTATGTTTAGCCACGTGGCTTAATACCTTATCTCAGTAAAGCACTCTCATCTTACTTCTTCTGTGTCTGGCTGGGGACTGCTACTCTGCCTTTCCGCTTCTCAGAAATCTCCTAGGCTGGTAGTATACCTATACTTCCTGCCTCACTACTGTCCAATCAACAGTTTATTAAACCACTATGAGTAACAAATCTTCACGGTGAACAAGAACATTATCCCACATCATCATGGACATAAAATAAAATATATAAACTTTTAAAAGCCACTTGGTAATATCTATTCATAAAATTTGCTGCTTTTCCACAGGGAGATTATGTTGTCAAGGTCTGATGCAAAATGACAGTGATGTCATAAACCCCAAGACCAGTCTGAGGTAAATAATATACAGCAGTAGCCTTAGCCAAAGAAACACTGTGGCCATACTCTGGCCATGAAGGTTCATATTTATGTCCTATTCTTGTCCATTTGGACAATCAATTGTTTAGCTAGAAACAAAACTAATGTATCATCATCTACTACTACTACTACTACCACTACTACTACTACTACTACGACTACGACTACTGTTACTACTACTACCACCACCACCACCCCCACAGGTATGTGCCCAAGCTTAATGTTTAAAATGTATTAACTGTATCATGTGTTTTTATTAATTTGTGTCATTAAGAGTTGTAGATTAAGAAATATGCTGTTATAATGGTGTTACTAACTATTATGATGTTTTTAAGAATTCTGAGTACAATAGCTGATATTTAAGTTTTATGTGAAAATTCTAAACCTCAAGAATATAGTTACAGTGCCCTCTGACTTCCCTTTGACACCAAGTCTGCCAACAAAACTAGAAAATGTGAATAAATCTACTGGAGGACTTGAGTAGAATGGGTTTGTTTTGATTTGGGTTTGGTTGTTGGAGTCAGGTTCTTACTGTGTTGTTCAGGCTTATTTGGAGTACCTGGCCTGAAATGACCCTTCACTCTTAGCCTCTGAAGTGGCTGTTCATAATGTACCATTTACTATGCCCATGGTGTGTTGTTATCCTGTCCTGTGTCCTGTTTTCTTTCACATAATTCACATATTAACACTAAAATGTAGTCACCTATGCATAGCATACACTCAAAATCTTCATTACTGAAATAACCACCCATGATTCAGAGGCAATATGGATAATGATACAGATTAGCTAGAGATACTACTCCAGGATGTGCTCAAGGAAATAAAATTACACTGGAGGGCTCAGTGGGCAAAGCAATTGCTGTACAAGTATGATGACTACATTCAGAGCCCCCAACCCCACATAAAGCTGAGCACAATGGCAAGTTATCTATAATCCAGTGTCCCTACAGTGAGATAGGAGGCAGGCAGGAGAATCCTCACAAAGTCATGAATAGCTAGCTTTGTTTTTAGTGCAGCAATAAACAATAGAAGAGACCCTGTCTCAAACAAGGTAGAGGACAGGGAATGACACCCAAGATTTTCCTCTGACCTCCACATGTACACTGAAACAGGCACTTGTCCATACACAGACAAATTCAAATGCACACAAAAGTCTACACACACACACACACACACACACACACACACACACACACACACACATACACACACACACAAGAGGGAGAGAGAGATTTCAAAATTAAGATAGTGATAGAAAAAAATACCTAAAGTTGTCCTCTGACCTCCAAACACACATGAGGAAGCCCACTTGCCCATATGTACACACACACACGAAAATTATAATGGAAACTTTCTTAAACTTAAAATAAATAAATGATGGAGTGGAGAGATGGCTCAGTGGTTAAGAGCACTTGTTTCTCTTACAGAGGGCTCAGTTCAGTTCCTGGTGATCATATGGTGGTTCACAAGAAATTGTAACAACAATTTAAGAGTATCTGACACTCTCTTCTAATCAGGCATACATACATGTGGTGTACATGAATACATCCAAGCAAGCACCCCAACACATAGGAAATACTCATATACACTAAATATACTTTTCAAAAATTCGTTGAGAAAGAGATTTGACTCAATGTACAGTGGCAAATCACTCTCAAAGTGGGAGGGAAGTGGGTTACCTAACACATTGCCTAATGGTACAATCTTTTTGCAGCTGATAAAACTACTGAATCAACAGGATCAGGAATGGATGATTTTAGGAAACGTCTTCTCGGTTTCATAGTTGGAATTATGATCATAGCCTTCACCTTTACCTGTTTTTGTTTACTCCATTATAACTGTATGATTGAGGAGGTCCAGTCTCCAGGAGGGTAAGTTTTATACATTTAAAAATGAAAAGTGTGTGTATGCTATGAGTGCATGTGTGTGTGGGGGGGGGGGTATGTGGGTGAGGTATTTGTGCTCAAGTGTGTGCACATGTGCAGAAGAGGATGTCAGGGCATTGATACCGGGCATGTCTCCAGCAATCTTCCTATATCTTTTCCTCACATGTGGGATACAGACATGTGCTATGATACATGGCTTTTTACATGGGTTTAAATGAAAGATCCATGAGAAGCAACACAGACAAGGGGACAAGCAACTCAAAAGTAGCCCAAGCTTTTAAAAATCATTTCTTTATATGTATATTTTTTCCATATACATATGTGCATGGAGTACCCATAGGGAACAAAAGAGGGCATCAAATCCCTTGGAAATGGAGTTAAAGCTGGTTGTGAACCACAGTATGGGTACTGCTAACTAAGTGCAGGTTCTGTGCAAGAACTGCAAGTACTCTTGATCACTAAGCCATGTCTCCAGCCCCAATAGTACAGGCTTCTATTTGTGGGATCATCTGTCATCTTCTAGCCCCTACAGGCACAAAGCACATACATGGTGCAAAGACATACATGCAAGCAAAATGCCCACTTACATAAAATTACATTTTTTAAATTAAAGGATTGAGGGGGTGGGTGGGGTGGGATGAGCGGGAGGGTGTGGAAGAAGGGGAAGGAAGGGAACTGGGGTTGTTATGTAAAATGAAAAAAATTAAGTAATGAGAAAAAGAGCAAGAGTTCACTGTCTGAATAGTTTGGAGTAGTTATGGGACAGAACGTTGGGAAGGGGTTAATTGAAATTTTTCCTTTAATCAGGTATGGTGGTACACATCTTTAATCCCAGCACCCAGGAGGCAGAGTCAGGTAGATCTCTGTGAGTTTCAGGCAAACCTGGTCTACAACACAAGTTCTAGGAAAGTCAGAGCCACACACAGAGAAACCCTGTCTCAAATAAAACAAACAAAAAATAAACAAATAAATTCTTTTTATGGCTTACAGTTGGTCAATGCCCAGGGTAACCAGTGAGCTAGTTAAATGGTGTTAGCTGATTAATAAACATTTTTCGTGGATGGCCCCTCACTAGAGGTTGACAGAGAAAGGAAGGCAGAAATCTACAGAAGCAAATTACTTTCATTCTAGAAATTGAATTACGTTAATTTCCAAAATTGTCACTGTTTAATCAAAATGTAGGAGGTTTACAAAATGTCATGACTATTGATAACATTTCCTGACTTTTGATTATATAGGTGATAAACAGGGAGTATTTGTCATTTTTGTATCTTTTGATGGACAGGGTCTGTATCCTCCTCAAAAGGGACATAGGGAAAATCTTCAGTATAGTAAACTTTGGAAGAGGAAAATGATGGAAGGGAAGGGTCCCTTTTCAATAGCCTCCAGAACTAATATCTGTTTAACTATCTGACATTTCCCCCTTAAGAGTTGAGACCCCAAACTCATTTAGAAGGTGGACATCAAGTCACTTTGTGACTTATAGATGAAATTAAGGGTATATAAGGGTTGAGGGTCTCCACTCTTAATAGACTTTCATGCATTTGGGATCAATCAAGTGGACCAAGGTAGATGGATATAGATTGTTGCAGTGTCAACTGAGTGTGGATAGACAATGAGATGGTGGCGTTTAGCATAATCTTACTGCAGGTAACTACAGGTGATGTGAGTAAAATGATTACAGGAGTTGCATCATCAAGTGTAGAGAATGGCCTTTCATCTTAGCCCTTTGTCTTATCTTCCAGCTCTTAAATACTTTTGCCCACCTCTTCGACAATGTTCTCTAATTCTAAGAAGTATTGGTATAAGTGACTTGCCTGGGGCTAGATCCACATCCATGACTTATTTTATACATTCTCCACTGTAGGAGATATAAGGAGAAGCTTCTTTAAGGCTGCTTTTGTCTGTGGGTGTACATACAGGTATTTAAAAGGATTCTGCTGCTGTATCAGTTTAGTTGACCATCAGAGGTACATTCTTCCTCTGGGCATACTATCAACTGTACTTGAGTTGTTAGCCAAGCTTACTGGTTCCCTGCTCATATCCCATACAGAGTATCTAGAATCCATTTAGAGAGCAGTTGGTTAGCCCCTGCTACTCCAACAATAAAACTGTTATTGCATAGGTGGGTATATCTAGCTTTTGTGATGATATTGTATGCTCTATTGTGTGCTCCTGAAGATCAGAAGGTAGAACTAGTGGCTAGCCACTAGAGGTCTGGAGGTCTGTACAGATAGACAGGAATTGATACGGTGAAGCAGAGATAGAAGCTTGGTCCTTTTTGGCTGAGCAGTTGGCAAGGTAAGAGGTGACTGTGGCTGGCCCCTTTGTCTCTCCAAGCTCTCTCAGCATTTACTCCACTATCTGGTTCCAGGTTATTATTATTATTATTGTTGTTGTTGTTATTGTTATTGTTTTTGAGACAGGGTTTCTCTGTAGCTTTGCAATCCGTGTTATTATTATTATTATTATTATTATTATTATTATTATTATTATTATTATGGTTTTTGGAGACAGGGTTTCTCATTAGCTTTGCAGCCTGTCCTGGAACTCACTCTGTAGACCAGGATGGCCTCAAATTCACAGAGATCTGCCTGCCTCTGCCTCCCAAGAACTGGGATAAACGGTGTGCACCGCCACTGCCTGGCTTCAGGTTTTTATTATTAAGACCAATTAGACCAGTTGTAACAAGCTCTCTAAAGGTTTCTTTATACTCCCTTTATTCCAGTTAATTCTCTTCCATCCCATACCTTCATCTCCCCATTTCCCCCTCTCTCTACCTCCCTGTCTAGACGTTTCTACCAAGAGTCTCTCTTTCTTTATGTCTATGTCCTACTACACTCCCTCCCGAAGGTGCACACATACCCTGCACACACACATTAGCTTTTTGTCTCCTCCTCTATACAGGTACTCCACTAAATATAATGGACCAAAGCTAGGATCCTCATATGAGAGAAAACCAGTGGAATTTGTCCCTTTTATCCAGGGTTACTCATGTACAAATCCACCCATTTGTCCTGTAAATGTATTTTTTTATATTGAAGTAATATTCCATTATACATATGTACTACATCTTTATTATTATTGACAACTTTGTGTCATGCCATACATGGACTATAAGTTATATAATGTTTTTGAAATAGTAAAAATATTCTTTAAAGAAAATTATTTATGAATTCATAGGTGTAACATGAGTCACAGCTGTCAGCACACTCTAATTATTACTGTGTTTACTTTTACTATGTAAAAAATATCCATACTCTAAGATAGCATTATATTTTCTAATGATAGTAATAGTACTTTTGTTTTACATTATGACACTCCAAGTTTTCTGCATTTCAGGCTCAACAAAGAAAATATGGCTGCTATATCATCCTGGGTATCCAAGGTATCTGCTTGTCAACCTGACATGATAACTGAGGACATTCTAGAAACTCAACCTCTGCTATTAAATTCAGACCAGACATCTGGGACTTTATGTCAAGAAAAGCAATCTATGCCAAACAGTGCAGTAAAATCAATTCAGCCTTCAAGTCTCGAAAAGCCATGCAGACCATCCAATGCAAAAAAAGCAATGAGATCCTCAAATACAGATAAGTCATCCACACCAGGTAGTATAAAAAAGTGGGGCAGGCAATTAGATTTAAAAATGTCATCAAGCCCCCAACGATTACATAAGTCATCTTACCTGGATAAGTTACATAAGAAACGCAGCCTTAAAAAATCACATAAGCTCACCAATGCCTGTAAATTAGCTAGTCAACCCAATTCATCCTCTTCAGAGAGGCAAATCATACCACCTTGGCTAGCTATTCTGCAAACTTCATCTATGCTATCCTCACAATCTTGTTCATCAGCATCACAAAGTCAAATCGTTCCCGTTGAACCATCCAGAATAAAGAAACCAAACCCGTCATGTGGATGCCATGATCTAAAAGAGCCAGTAAGTACAGAAAAGGCTGCATTACACAAGCATTCGTCAGCCAAAACTTGCCGACATTATAATGAAAAATGCCTTATTTGTAACACTCCTGAATTTCTTCTCAATGATCCTTTGGGGACAAACAAGGAACATGCTGAAAATCCTCATGGTTCAAGGGATATGAACTCATCTTCCAAGTCTTTTTATGAAACGGATTACATGTACAGTGGAACAGAGTTCAATTCTTATCAAGATAATGAAAGTAATGATACTATGAAAACATACGATAGTGAAGACAGTAATGCAGAGATAGTCATTATTTGCGACACAAGTAATAACGAGGATGGCATGACTAGAAACACCTCACACTATTAAGGATTTAAAACAATGTAATCTACATACAGGATATCCACATGTAATCACTATCAAGAATAGACCTATATATCTTGAAGGCAATTAAATGCATGTCATAACAAATTATTGTTGTATTTATCATTGCATCTCATTGGCACAAGATTCATTTGGTATATCGTATTTATATGTGGTCACTTAGAAGGGAAGCATACATGTGCATAAAATCTAGGAAAGAAATTTTTAAGATAGATATCCTGAACTGCTCTTTCACCTCAATGAAAGGACCAATTTGACATTATTTACATAGCTTTATTTTTCAGTGCTAAGGAGTAAACCCAGAATATCACATGTGCTACTCAAGTGGTCTACCAATGAGCTTTGTTACCACTTAGATATGTGTTTTTAATTATTTTTATAATTACTTTATGTGTACAAGTGTTTTGCCTCCATATAGGTCTGTGCACCACTTGTGAGCCTGGTGCCCAAGTAGGCCAGAAGAGAGGTGGTCTGGAAATGAAGTTACAGACAGTTATGAGATGCCATGTGGATTCTGGGAATAGAAACTTGGTCCTCTGAGAACTCTTATCCACTAAGCCATCATTTCGGCTCCTGGAAATATATTTTTAAATTTTTTATTTTCAGACTTGAGGATCAAACACAGGACTGTGAATACTAGGCAAATCTTTCATGCTCCCAGATTCTGAAGTAATTTTGAGTTGGGGGTGGGATATGTGTTGCTGGTAATGGAATCCAGAACCTTGCACATGCCAGGCAAACTCTCTGCCACTGAGCAACATTCCCAGCTCTACTCTTTCGTATTGATGTGGAAATTTTATGGTTTCAAACTGTCTTCCTCTATAGGACAAGCATATCAATACTATGGATTGAATGCTTATATTTGCCCCAAATCATGTGGTTGAAACCTCATGCTGTATAGTATGGTTATAGAGTTCTTGGGTAGTAGTGCAGTCATAAAAAACAGAGCACATTATGAATGGGATTTGTACCTTTATAGGGAACAGAAAAGGGTGCCTCTGCCCTGTGAGACACAGTACAAAGTTTACATCCATGAATTGTAGAGCTGGCCCTCACTAGACATCTGCTGCTATCTTAAGTTTGGACTTCCCATACTTCAGAAGCATGACAAATAAAGTTGCTGCTTACAAGACACTCAGATTATGGTATTTTGTTATGGACTCCAAACTAAGATTCTCAATACTGCTTGCTTCTGGATGACTTAGAAAAATTCCCAACCACCAGTGCTAAGAACATCTTCTCTGGAGATTGCCACCATGGAGGGCCCAAGCTACAGCACACACTCCTAGAACTTGACAAACTCTTAAGTGTTGTAATAAAGTCAGCAACTAACTTACTGTAGATAGTAAGGGCAAATTTTTTATCATGGGATAAAAAGTACAAATTTATTATTACAGTGAAAACAAATGTTGGGGTCCAGAGGAAGGCTAGGACCAAAACAGTTCAGTTGAGGGCTGGAAAAATAGCTCAGCAGTTAAAAGTACTTATCTACTTTATCAGAAGACCCAGATTTAATTCCCAACACCCACCTGGCTATTCACCATGGCCTTTAACTCCAATTCCAATGGATATAACTCCCTCTTCTGGCCTTTACCGGTTTTTGCACTTATGTGATATCCACAAACTCATGCAGGCAAACACATATACATATAATTTAAAATAGACCTTTAAAAAAAAGAACTGTAAAATTGGGAACACTAAAAACGACAAAAGGTCTTGCAGTGGGCATTAGAACACCAAACTGATGGGAGGAAAGATGGGTATTGGAGCCAGTGTTCGTAGACCCGCTGGTTCCCTAAAGTCCCCAGGGAATGTATGCTACACACTATTGCCCTTTCACTTAGTATTGACCCCGATGCAGTTAACTGTAACAGAGTCAAATATGGGTGAAAAGTGTTCATATATTTCATGAAAGAGACTCCCATTTTGCTCTGTGAGCAAGTTCTTAAATATTAAATAACCAGTTACAACTTGGTAGCTGTGATTAGGTTACCTCTATGGTGAAGTTATAAGCTGACTACAAAAGTTTGAGAACAAAGAGAGCATAGTATAGTAAACAAGTGTCAAGATACCCGCAAGGATGGTGACTAGTGGGGCAATGACTAGCAGACATGCCTGGCAGCTAATGGAGCAGGAATCAGAGATGAACAAAGGAGGACTCTAAGTAGCCTTTAACTGGGCGGGCCGCGTGTGAATAGAATATGATTATCTCCCTGATTGAGCCAGGAGAACAAGCACAGAGCACAGAGCACTTTCCTTTGGCCAACTAATAAAGTTACCTTAGTTTATTACATAAATCATATAAAACTTCCTGTACGTGAAGTTTAATGAATCTTTCTTTTCGTGAACCCCTTCTACACGTAGGAGTTCCTTTCATATTCTTTTAATTCCTCTCCATAAAGCATCTGCTTCACTTAATTCTACAAATGGCATGCATTTTTAATGGCACTGTAATAAGACAATCAACTTAAGAGCCACTGTCTCCCGTTGACTTTTGACGGCTGTTGAATTTCTGGCATCTTAAATCCCTAAGTCAAGTACAAATGAGTCAAGAAAGGGATGGAAGTGAGGAAGGGACGGCAGGAGGAAGATAAACAGGGAAAAGGGTGGGATGAGGGTACTACTAAAACCTTGCCCAAGCTAATAATTTTGAAAAATTAAGCCTTGTCATCACAAGAGTTTGGAACCTTTTAGAAATGTCTTGATTTAATAAAGAGGGTCTCATACTTACACCTCTGGCTTAACTTGTATGCTACTTTACTCCCTTTCTTCCCATGTTCAAAAAGAATCGGGGCTATAGGTCCGTTACCTCCTTACATTGTCTTTACTGAGGGAACACTGTAAAACCATTTCAAGTTTGGCTCTTCCCTCTCAGACCACCCCTATTCTCTTACTTTTGATTAACCTTCCACACTCATCTATGAAACTCATATTCTACTCATGGCTATAGGACTGAAATGGATTACATTTTGCTTTTCGATTAACATGGTTTAATTGAAGAAGCAGAGATGAAAAAGAGTTCAAGGCCAACCCGGTTTACAGAGTGTACATGCACAACCTTTGCTAAAATTGAGTCACTTGTATAAGAAGGTGATAAATGGTAAGATTTAAAATGTTTCTCTCATATTCCTTCTCTATATACATAAGCATGGATCTAAAGGACGCTTAGAGATCTTCAAATACACCTTTCTGTGGAAAAGGCATCTGTAGAGCTAAAAGTATCCTCAGGCCACAAGATCACTTTTTTCCTAAGGGAGGAGGGTGAGCTTTTGGTAGCATTGTACTGGTAAAAAAAAAAAAATTAAAGATTTATCTATTTTATGTTTATATGTGTGCCTTAAATGTATGTATGTGTATCAAATTCATGTAGATACCCCTGGAAGGCAGAAGATGGAATCAGAACCCTTGAAATTGGAGTTACATGGTGGTTGTGAACCACCATGTAGGTGCTAGGAATGAAACCAGGGTGGCCTGAAAGAGCAATGAGTTCTCTTAACCCTTGATGGCAGATTTTTAAATAGTCAAAAAGAAGTGAACGATCAGATGTAGTACGGTTATAGAAGCATCGAACACTTACTAAAAGTCCTCAGTTTCATCAGTTCCTGCAGTTAAAAAGCCCCATTCCACAATGGCATTAGAGCTTGGTATATATAGTATGATATATATATATATATATATATATATATATACATACATACATACATACATACATATATATATATATATATATATGAGATTGCACACCCAGTGTTCCTGATCAATTAACTCAAATTGTATCTCATCCAAGCCATCACTAAAGTACTAAGATTCAGGCAGGATGCCATCAAAATCCATTTAAACTGGCTCTCTTCCCAGCAGTGATAGAGATGCAAACTCCCCTTAACAATCAAATCCAACCTTGAATTAATTAATATCTCTGTTGGTGTCTGTTTTAAGTTGTATAATTTTTACTGGCTCTATTTCTAACATTTGGAATTCCATTTGGCACTCGTCAGCAAGTATTTAGTCTGCCCTACTTGCTAAAGTATTTGCCATTTTGGCTCTACTTATTTCTTGTCACAGGATATAACTGAATACACCAGCATTCAAAAAAACAGTAACATGCACAAAATAGAACAAACATATGAGCTCTTTGAGGGTATGGGCTGTGCAAAGTTATATGTAAATCAGGATCATATATGTCTTAGTGATCTTCGTCTTTGTTTTTTGGGTCAGAACATGGCACACCGGTAAAGCTCAGAAAATGTTGACTAAGGAATTAATAGATATCCATGTGCTGCTAAGGGAAGACCCTAAACTGTCTAAAAGGTATCAATTCTGGCTGTTAACTAGTTGCTTCTCGTGCAAACCACTTACACATTCTGGACTTAGTGTGAAGATGGTGTTGGATAACTTCCTAAATGGCCCCTGGTGAAAATACGACAATTTTGTTTGAGACAGGATTTCAAATATACTGTTTGACCAAATCAATTGCTTCTCTGCCTTTTGACTAAAACCAATTGTAACCCAAACTGGTCTTGAATTTGTGATACCCCCGATTTTACCTGCCTAGTGCTTGATTAGAGGAATATAAATAACTTTTATTATATTTACATGCTATTTTAAAGCAAATATAATTTCAATTTTCCAGTAGCACTATTTGAATGCTATGAGAAGCTTGTACTTGGGCTGGTTAGCAACTCAGCAGTAGACTGCTTGTTTAGCATGCACAAAGCCCCAGTTTTTAACTGCATCACTGAAAAAAATTTTTAACTACAATTGTATAAATTTGTACTAAATGCCTGGACAACTAAAAGAGCAAGGAATGAGTAAACTTGTGCTTCAGGCTATCTATCCTAACTATGATAGAAATTTAGATATGTATTTCTTTATAGTCATTTGGTTATAGGTCACAGGTATAGACTGAGGGTAGGACAGATGTATGTAAGTGTATGGGTCCTTTGCTCATCAAACTAGTATGCCCTCAAATCTCAACCAGACCCTAT